CGTGAAGGTTGTTAAAGTAAAGTAAGTAAATTAATGTAAATAATTATTTAAATTTAAATTTAAGTATAAAATAAATATTGTACATAAATTTAATTTGATTTGGAAAAAACCTAAATACTCAGATACCATAAAAAATGAAAATAAATAATTTTTTGTTATTTTTAAAACAATAAATTTAAAAATTACACAAGAGATATAAATAAAAAAATAAAAAAANTGAAAATAAATAATTTTTTGTTATTTTTAAAACAATAAATTTAAAAATTACACAAGAGATATAAATAAAAAAATAAACAATTAAAAAAAAAAAAATAAAAAATAAAAAAAAAAGATTCGCTCACTGAGATTCGAACTCGGATCTCTTGATTTGGCGTGCCAAAGCTTTACTCTGTCGACCATTGCCACTGTTGCAGCGCCGCGAGCAAAATGCTCTACTTATGCTTTTCACGGGGGATGAATAGGCAGTCTATCCCGTCAACTGGTATGATGCTACTAGTGTTTCTACTAGTAGCGTGCTGATGCAGGAGCGGACAATTGGCATCTCCTATGACACCACCATGTTAAAAATACCAGTCGCTAACATTGAAAAAGGATACAACGTGAACTAGTTGGGCTGAAACGCAAACTGGTAGCATTCTGGTTCATAACTGGTAGCTTTCCCTACAGGGAACTTGCAGTGCATTTGTGTGTGTGTGTGTGTGTTCGAGTGCGTGTTAAAGTACTTTGCAAGTGATACGTGCGATTTGCTCGGATAACTTTCTATACAAATGATGGTGTCTGAAAGCGTAAGCACTGCAACAACAAAGGAGCTAAAACAAGCTAAAACTCTAAGCAACATCAGCGGTATCCTAAAGAACGAAAAAAGTTGAATGCGAATGAAGAAAGAAAAGGCATGACTACTACTATGACAGAGAAATTAGTATTGATGAGCAGCAAAGCGAAAAATACCAATCAGCACTAATCAGCAAAAAGTAAGAGACATAAAAATGAAAGAAGGAAGTTGAAGTAGATTGTATGTACAGTGTTTACACGTACATACCTATAAACAAGCATATATAGACATATGTACATACATATGTACATACATACATAAATATTAAACGGGTACACTCACTTTTACACAAGAAATTACAACAACAAAGTTGTATTTTAGGTAGAATGTTATTGTTGGGAGTGACTCCAGAAAAATTTTGTCGACTTGCTTACATAAAAACATAAATATATTTGTAGATACATACATAAGGGCGGGAAATATTTTTTACTATGCGCTTATAGCTAAGGAGGATTCTAAGTGTAATTCTAAGCGAATTTACAAAAAAAATCATAGGCCTAAAATCAATTTGAAGTTTGCCAAACTGCGAAAATAGGTTTCGAAGAAAATGTGAAACTTTTTACTGTTTCGAAAGCGAAAGTTAAAAAAAAAAATAATTGTAGAAATGGATTCCTCATACCAAAAAACCCCTTAACGCATGTTTCTATACAAAATTTAAGTAGATACTTCTTTGCGACACTACAGCGAAATGCTAAAAAATCTATTTTCGCAATTTGGCAAACTTCAAATAGGTTTTAGACCCATTGTTTCTTCGGAAAATTTGCTTAGAATTACATTTAAAATCATTCTGGTGACCCGTCCTAATATACATACATATAAATGTGTGTGCCCTTAACCTTTCTTCACACACCTGGTACGGTCTGTGAGACCGAGTGATCATGAATATGTTTATTGCTCGAAAATAAATAACGGAAGCTGTCTTATTCTTTCAGTAGCTTAATGGTTTGCTATTACGCAAAATTTTGTGTAACAAGTGCGACCTGGCTAAGTGGACATGCAGCGCTGTATGCTTTGAACGGTCTGTCAGACCGGGGTGTGTGTTTGTGCAATTATTTTAGTAGGTAAGCAAGTAGTAGAAAAATTCAGTGAGTCTGACTAAAACAGCAAAATCAATGTTCATTTATTTGTTTGAAGTGTAAATAAAATGAAACAAAAAAATAAAAGATCTTTTTCATTGACTTAATATTTTTTTTAGAGCTTTTCTAAGAGACCAATTTTGAATATATATATCATGTTAAAGGACTAACATAAGAATTACTATTCTTGTTTGGAATAAATAAATATTTTTCCTCTTTTTAACAAAATAAGTTGAATATTGTCTACTTAAACTAATTGCATACAGATATTTTCAACAACGTCAAAGACGCAACCTAGAGAACTGATGAAAAGAAACCCGGTCTGGGAGACCGCGGTATGTATTTGTGTCACAATAAATCACCCGTGTGAAGGAAGGTTAAGTGCGCGTGTGTATTTGTTTTTAGAGCATGTCGGCATCATTGCAAGTAAAATGAAAGCGTTATAGAACATATGTACCATAACAAAAAAAAGGAGCTTTCTCATAAAGTTGTGACAACAAATTGGAAATGAGTTGCTGAGTAGCGAAAAGTGGACTAAGCGTCACGTCTGAAGTGTATAAGTAGAAGAAAAGGAAGCAGAAGGAGTAACAACGAGACAAAAAAAAAAGCTGCAATGACACCAGGGATTCGTTCAAAGTTAGCTAAGTGTTTGGGGATACAGTTCTGTACAATTTAGTTCACATGCCTGCTTCGAATGTACACCAGCATTTGGCTTGTGTAGCGTGGATATTGTTGTTGTAGTTGTAGAACACGTATGCAGGCACATATGTACATATGTACACCTGCAATCATTCAACTTTCCATTGGGCACGTACTTCATTTAAGTTCGCTCAGCAACACCCGCGTAAAAGCAGACATCCACAGTTACATATGTATATGTAAGTATGTATTATTGAGTATAAATATATTTACATACTATTGCGGTGCTAAATCATTTGTCGTCTCCTCCAGGGTGTTAACTGAAATTCAAAACCTGAAATGCAGCTGCGAAGAACTGCACAAAAGTATGCACATACATATATAGTACATATATGTCCATATAAGTAAATATAAGCAAAATAGCACGGCTGAAACCGAACTAAATATGTTTTTGTCAACGCATTATTTGGTTATAACTAGTTATATAGTTTGAGTTGACGAAATTTCTCGGTCTAGGTCATTGCGATTAGGAAATTGTTGCATTTTCCTCTAATAAAAGATAACTAATTTAGTAAAATGTTAGAAAAAGGTGGATTCTGAATCTTGATCTTGATTGGCGCTTATAAACCCAGCAACCATTTGGAGTCATATATGAGACTTTAAGGAGTCATATTTCAGAGCCTTTACGCTAGGGCTGCCATAAACCTGAGCCCATCGCTCAGGACACCTAATACTCATATCAAAGCCGAAGATATAAGTGAATATGGTGTCAATATATTCCTTATAAGTACAGTTTCTTTGGTTCTAGCGTTGCATTATGCTGAAGTAATCTATATCTATATAGATATATTAATACGCGAAGGGATTTTTTGTCCAGGTAATGAGATCTGCACTGTTCGTTCGATTTTCAAAAATGAGATGTCAAATTAAAGGGCTTGTTCTTTAGATGCAACAAGGTTTAACTTTTTTGAAAAGAATTGCCATATTTAAAAAAATGTAATTAAAGTTATTTAAAATAATAAATCAACTATTCCTGTATGGGTTCAATCGAAATAGGTTTTAAAAGGCTTTTTTTTATAAACTTAATGTATGAGGGTTGCCACCTGTTTAAAAAATCTAATTAAATTTTAATGAAGGGAATTAGGTAAGAAAAGTATGTATCCACACTGTTTGGGTGCCAAACGAAAGGGGTTTGAGAAGATGGTAGTTTGAAAATATTTTTGAGAGGGTTGCCACCTGCTTGAAGTGTCGAATTTAGTTAACTTATACACAAGGTATATGAAATATCACAATATGGATATCAAAGGAAAGAGTGCCGAGAAAGTTTTGAAAACACACGAAACAATCAATGTACTCACAAAGCTGTGAGCCAGATTAAGTGAAACTTTTAAAAGACTTTCAAAAATATGATTAATCCAAAAAATTATTTAAAAAAGTTTTGCGCTATGTGGAATAATAAGTTGGGTACCAAATGAAACGTAAAGTTCTGTAGAATTAAAAAAAATTAAGTATTTTTATTCACAACAACAAATAGGTATTGGATATGTCCATTTAAATAATTTCTTCTTTGAAGCTAATAAAGTTGGAAGGGCGAAGTTCGAGGATGGGATTTTTCGAAAAAATACCTATTGCTAATTTTCAAGGATACCCAAAAATAAAATTTTAAGAAGACTTTTTCAGTACTTATTTGTCCTTATGCACCAACATAAAATAAGTTTAATTTTAGCATTTCTTTTAGTTTTCGAAAAAAATGATTAAACTTATCACTAACTTAAAACTACAACATTATGAAATTTTCAAGATGCCATTTTGCACAAACAAAAAAA